GCCAACTATAGATATTATAGCTTAACTTAGTCATGACTACATAAACTTAGTTATAACTAATTAGTTTAGTCAAAACTAGCTAGACTTAGCTATGCCTTGGCTAATCATCCTTAATCATTTGACAATATCTAAAACTTAATACATATGTGCAACACATTTCTTATAGATCGGACTATGAGTTGAATTTTTTTGATAAAAGCTTCAGCTAGACCATTTTGACTATGCTCGTAAGGAGCAAAATAAGTAAGTTCTATCCCTGTCACTGTGCAATAGTCCTCAAATGCATGAGATTTAAATTCAAGAGCATTGTCCATTCTAAGGAATCAAACTGGGTGGTCAGGGTAATGGTTTCTAAATTTTAATAGCATCGCTAAGGTATTGGAAAACATCATCTTTCTTAAGCTAAGAAGAGAAACCTCAACATGAGCTCCGGATGCATCAACGAGAACAAAAAAATATTTGAACTGACCTGATGCTGGACTGATTGAACCACACCAATCACCTTGAAGACGGTGCAATGGTGCAGGCATCTCCTCTAGTTCTTTCCAAGTCGAAGGTCGTTTCATCAATTTAACTTGGATGCATGTTGAGCATTCTCAAACATGCTCAGCGTTGCTAGTGCACATCTCGTGGTCGGTTAGGAGTGGTTGCATCCTCCTCATCATAGTAATTCCCGTGTGCCTTAGTCGTCTATGTCACAAATCCGCTCTGGCGTTTGTTGTCATGAGTGATGGGGAGGCACCTTTATAGAATAGGCTCGGTCACGTAGTGAGAGCAATGTCCTCTTCCTTACCCGATTGGATAGGGGTAGCGCTCAAAATGGGCCGCGCATAGGCAAGTTGACTCTTCCTTGCACGCGTATGGGTGAAATTAACTCCCAAGATTAGAATCTCTTATAGGCATGTTATTCCCGCTTTAGCAATGGTGAGATTCGTCATCCCACGCCTGAGTTGTAGTATCTCTTCACCGCCATGGAGGCGTGGATATGGTTGGCCCGTACATTCTGATAGCTGATTCCAAGGAGGCCAGGGACGGTATCCCGGTGGTATGTTATACCACACACTTGTCGGTTGTACGCTCCTGGCACCCTCGATATCCCGAGGGGGCCAAGGGCGTACATTACCCGTTCGGAGGTGAGCGGGGTCTCTTCGGACAAGACTATTGTTGCCCGGCCCTCACGAAATATTAAATTTTGCATTCCTGCGATTGTGAGTATGTCACAAGATTGCCACATATCGTTTTGAGTTTGTAACTCAAAGTAAGTCTAATCTTTGAAAATCGAAATGGTGGAGTCACAACTAAGGAGCGCGAGATTGTTCTTGTTGATAGTACCATAACACGTTACCATATAGTTATCTGGATCTAGTTGCGGATATGTGAGAGACCGAGCATCTACAGTATGAGACTCTCGTCGCGCAACTTTCAAGGACTGAAGTTTTTGATACATGTCACCAATGTACTTCCTAGCGTGACAATTGCGTGCTCGATGACCAAGTCTACCACACTTAAGACAATTTTCTTTGATCTTAGGAGACAACGATGACTTAGACCGATATCGTGATCGAGACTAAGACTGAGAAGGTTTGTTGCCATACCGCTGATACTTATTGGATGGGTTGTGCCTCCAATTTCCTCGTGGCGTGCGTTTGCGTGCAGCAAGAACATGGAATTTGTCTTTTGTACCTCAAAATCTTGAAGTTGAGTTGGTCTTGATGTGCTTCAACGTCTTTGTATTGTGAATTTCTCTTGCATGTCGAGTCTCGGCCGTCTTCAGTAAGAGTTGTTGTTGCTTTTTAGCAATCATCAGGTATCACATCAGATCAACATGCTTGGGGAATTTCATATTGCGATATTGTTGCGATAAGATGACACATGTGGGAGGAAAAGTTGAGAGTGTATTATCTATCATATCGGCGTCGATGATAATCTGGCCACAAATGCGGAGATGGTCAATGATACGGTGCGGTTCTAAATCATAACTATGAAATTCAGGAAGTCAAAAACTCGAAGACTCAACCAATCACTCCGGGCTTGTAGTAGGATGATCGTTTCTTCATGTTGGAAGCGTAATTTGAGCACCGCCCATAGAATTGCTGGGTACTCCTTGTGTATGTACTGCATCCGCAACGACAAGTCAAGATGGGGGCGAAGTACCAATAGTGTCTGCCACTTGTGCGCTGGCTTAATCACCTTCTTCAAGTTCGGTTGCATTGTGTAGATTAGTTTTTTGGCGGAGAGATACATCCTTATGTTGAAGTGCCAATCTAAAAATTGTGTCCCATCAGATGTTAAAGGTTCAAAGTAGAGGGGAGTGATTCTACCATACTTGGATTGTGCTTCTGTCATCATAGTTAATCTAACTATCTACTCCGTGAACAAGAAGACTCCTTTGTACACAAGACTCTTTGGTAGTATGTACAAAAGAATCGCCAAAGTTAGGAGTGGGAAAGAGAGATGAGATGGAGACTACGGAAAGGAAAGATAATGATGTTTCAAAGAGTGCCAGAAAGCAACAAGAAGAAAGAAGTAGGACAAGATCGTCAAGACACCCTATGCTTAGTGGAATAGTAGCAACTGCAGCGAAGATGGCGCTTTGAGTCCATCGAAAGTTGAATCACTGCCAAACATTTCAGAACGAGCTCACACGCCAACAAATAAAACCAATCACCAAGCTCTATACCAAAAACACAAAGTCGTTTACAATCTTTCAGCCCTTCTTCACGTGTTACAGTGCTCTGTTTTCAAAGCACTTGGAAGGATTCAGACTGACAGGTGCCAAAGGAAAACTGACATGAGCAAGCGTGCTGATAACGTGTTGTGAGAAGGAAACTGAAAGAACAAAATACTAAAACAAATGAAACTATGCTCTCAGATCTCTCTATGAACAGCACTCTTGAATACTCTCAAAGTAAAAGTATATTAATGAGTTTGGAGGGTGTTACAGTTCCATATTTATATGGAAGTATTGGGGTTAGTGTAAACCTATATTAATAGAGACTGTCGGTTTGACCTCTCAATAATTCTTAGGGTTAGGGTAAACCCTCTCTTTTATTAGAGTTCGGTTATCTCACATAAACATAAGGGACACCCTTTTATGGTTTTGGCTTGCATGCATTCAAAGCATTCATGCATTGAATGCGTTGTGTGAACAACTTTGCTTGTGTTACTGCCCACTATGCATTTAGTCTTGTAAAATCTCATCAAGAAAGTTTAGATTTCGATCTCAAATGATCTATACTAAAATCCTGATTTACTCCACAAGTGAGCCAAGCCTTTTTGTTCACCTGCAACACTTCAGAGTCTTCTCATCACACTCTCATTGAGTGAAGCTAAAATGTTATTGCACTTGCCATGTATGTATGTATGTATATATATATATATATATATATATATATGTTAAAACGATCACATAAATTGTTAAAAAGACCAAAGAGTCATGTTTATATAATATGTAGAAAACAAATTTTCTTGTTACACAAACCCAAGTATCAACTGCGAGCATGTTCATGTGGCTTACCTCCTCCTTCCATACTTCACAGTGTAGACCGGACACAATGCTCGAACATGTGCTCAACGTGTTGTTATCTCGCAAGGATCTTTGCAACAGTTTCAGCCATTAGTCATTGTTCTTGAAGTGTGTACGGATAAGTATCATGTTTGATTGTGTTTTCTGCATATATGCAGCAATTTGTAAAAAAAAAAACGCTTGGAAACGGGTATTTTGTTGTGTTTAAATTCTTGTACAAGAAACGCTATGATCTTTTAAACATAGGATTTGGTAGTTTTAACATTCCCCTATATATATCACATCTTTGGGTTGCTCGGAGTGACTCTTTCATCTTATTCATTGACGTTAATGCATAGCTTAACCCTGACGTGCGCATTTCGTCTGTCTTAATTCTCAACCGGTCAAATTAAAACCGAAATGTATGGAAGAAAGCAAGGGAGTCAAGGATAACAGCGAAAGGGAAAGTCATCCAGAGAGTTGACTTCCTTAATACTCTTGCTCTGTTAGTATGGTGCTATATACAGAGACTCTAAAATATAGGGAATGGAATGCAAATGAATAACCATAGTCAATGGCAGAACCTTATTCAGCAAGAACAATCACAATAGGATATTCCTCTTGGCATAACTCTTTCACCTTATTCATTAACGTTGATGCATAGCTTAACCCTGACGTGCGCATTTCGTCTGTCTTAATTCTCAACCGGTCAAATTAAAACCGAAATGTATGGAAGAAAGCAAGGGAGTCAAGGATAACAGCGAAAGGGAAAGTCATCCAGAGAGTTGACTTCCTTAATACTCTCGCTCTGTTAGTATGGTGCTATATACAGAGACTCTAAAATGTAGGGAATGGAATGCAAAAGAATAACCATAGTAAATGGCAGGACCTTAGTCAGCAAGAACAATCACAATATGATATTCCTCTTGGCATATTTATGAGTATATCTTTAGGTTGTTGTGTTAACTTACTTTAGGAGAAAAGCTTAGACAATGCATTACACTTTCTTGATATTCATTTTAATCTCTTGACTTTATCCACGAAAGTAAACACAGCAAAAAATATTTAGTTATTTGTAAACGGATTGACTTCGATATCGCAGGTGCAATAGGACGGGTGTCATTTGTGGTACATTTCAATCTAACCCGACGTTTTCTGTGTGGTTTCATCGGTCATTAATTCGGTTAGGTATTTTGATTGTTGTGTTTTACTTTTGTTATACTTATTTCTTATAGAAAGATGTGTAAATCGCAATGAGTGTGATGAAGAATATATTCTACATTTGTCAACCTGAGATGAATTTTATAAATCACGACTAGTTTGTAGACTCACGAGGACAACGTGGACCAATTTGTTACTGTAATATGCTGTATCAAAATCACCCAAAAGTAAGTTGCTCTTTTTCCTTCGACATTCAATATATGTAATCACCTCCCCAAGGAAATTGCTCTATTTTCGTGGAATTGAATCTATTGCGATTATTGCCCATTATATGTACACGAAACGCGATCTCATTCTGTTAATATCCTAATACAATATACACAACAGTAGAGACTGAGTTGAAAACTCGAAACATCTCAACTCAACTCTGGGAACTTTGACTCTTCAGCCGATGGACAAATGATAGTATTACCAAAAGGGGCCCGTATTTAACAAGGGGATGATGGAGAACAGAACAGAAGACTTGCGGACGAAGATGTCTCCTGCTTCAAGGACAGAAAGAATTTGCCCACTACCTGGGCAGCGTGTTCCAAGATGTATGCGTATGCGGATAATTTGACACAATGGAAGCTGTATCTGTGTCTGTAGAGGATCCAGTAACCGAACTGAACGGGACTCTCGGCAGGCCATTTTCGGCATCTTCATAATATGTCCCTTGGTAGTTGTCATCGTCATCGTCGGTCAACTGTCCAGTGTCCACATCCTCTCCTTCTAATTGTAAAGCTTGAGTTAACGCTCGCACAACATCCCCCATCTCTGGCCTTTGTGCACCACTCAGAAGCTGACATTGCAAGGCCGTCTCAGCAACCTTAATCATCCCCTCTCGTACATACTGCTTTCTCAGAGAAGGATCCACGATGCTTTCGATCTGATCCGTGTTCACAGCATCCCGTACCTGCACAAGCCTTCAGGTTCTCAGAGGAAGATATTTCCATGCGTCTGATGAAGCGATGCACTTACAGAAGGATTGGCATGAACAGTGCGAAAGGTTTGAATTATTCGCTTCTCAGTTGATGGTTCGAGCATTTGACTGCCTTCTCTGAGCAAGAGATCAGAGAAGGCCTGTGGATACTTTCCAAAGGCCTGAAAATTAGACTTTAATTGAAGGTAATGGAACAGTTCGTTCTACAACTCCCATGTCGTAGAGCACACAACAAAAAGGACAATAAGGTTCTACACTACTGAACCCAAACTTGTGAGAAAGACCTTGTCTCTTACCCACTCTGTTAACGTTGTTGCCTTGGATCCGGGAAACCTGGCAGTTTGAGGCTTTTTGCCAGTGATGATCTCCAGAAGGACCATTCCAAAACTGTACACATCACTCTTCGTGGTCAACCTGTGTCGTTCATAATACCTGCATTTGAAGCCACAAGAATGGTCACTCGGATTGAATGAATGGAATGCTTTGTAGTGAATACTCTATACACTGATAAACACGATTACTGTGACCATGTAATAAAGTTACAACATTGAGACTCTTACTCAGGATCCAGATAACCGAAGGTGCCCTTGATCATCGTCGATACTCCGGTGTTGACTAACGCTTTGTCCGCGTCCAGCTCAGGTGCTTGTTTAGAGATTCCCAGGTCTGCTACCTTTGCTAGCAGTTTGTTGGTCAGAAGTATATTGGCACTCTTAACATCTCGATGTATAACGGGAGGCCTGCAGTCTTTGTGCAGATACTCCAGCCCTTCACAAGTCATCAGATAGGGTCTCAGACTGGCAATTCAGGATCAAACTCGTCCTTCGAGCTTATTAACCTGACAGATATATAGAGCAGCAAACTACGGAGTTTCAAGCTCTGAACCCTACTCACCTCTTCCAGCATTGATAGCAATATCCAGTCGCTTCTTCCAGCTTAGCGTCTCACGTATTGAGACGATGCTTGAGTCTGATGTACTAGTCGAAGGATTGGAGCTAGCTGAAAAGGTCAAAGTTCATCAACATTAAAGGTCTCAAGTTAGAACTCCTCGCTCGCTAGTTTCATATGATCTTGCCAGAGATGGAAACAATTATGACATCTAACTGTTTGAAAAGGTGAACTATCCTGCAGTGTATCTTCAAACAACATATACCTTTCTGGAAAAGATGATCTTGCAAAGTGCCTTGTGGCATGTAGACGTAGAGGAGGATTTGTTGCTGTGCTTCTAGACAGTACCCAATCAAGGACACCAGATTCCGATGGTGCAGTCTTGACAGTAGTCTGACCTGTCGCAATAAAACGTCCGATTCCAGGTGTAAGATTTGGTATACTATTATGGAGGTTTACTTCTCCCATGTTTTGCTTGCAAAACCCCAATTCTTCTTTTGCTCTTATGCTGCACTAATATCAAGCTTGGCATCCTACCTCATTCAGAAACTCATCTGCTCCCTGTTTAGAATCAGAAGCCCTGACTTTCACTGCGACCTCTTTGCCGTCTGGTAGTCTACCAAGGTAGACTGGTCCGAACCCCCCTTTTCCGATCACTGTCTTGTAGTCATTAGTAATTGCTTTAATTTCCTTCAAAGTGAAACTCTGGGCTGACTCGGGCATGTCCTCTGCACGAAAAAAATAGCTTACAACAATAAAAAACTAGATTCGATAAAGCTTGGCATTCGTGAAAAACAAGATGGAAACTCACTTGAAATTAAGACAGGCATATGCTTGCAAGTGAAACCAAGAAATCATACCTTTCGATACTTGATCTCCACCTTCACTCTTCCTTTTCCTTCTCCTTCTAAACATTACGGCCCACACCGTAATTCCTATACCGATCACCAAGACAGCAACCACAACTCCAATAATTACTCCTACAGAATTACTTGACTTTGATGCTTCCGGATCAGCGAGGATCTCTATATTGGGATTGTTGGCAAATCTGCAGAAGCACGGAAGTCAAGTGTCATGTTTCCGCATTGCACATGTCTTTGTATCTCCAATGTCGAAGCCAACAAAATAGACAGACCAGCAAGGCAGGTCCCTGAATTGCAACGACTTACGAGATTTCCAAGCCGTTCTTGTTTGCTAAAACTTCGGGTATACCGGTGAATGTGTTGTTGTCCAGCAACCTGCAAAGATGATACAAGATTAAAAATACGCACGGTCACAGGAAGGGAAGTGCAGATCATTCGGGCCCCGGACGGTTATTAGTGGTGAAGTTGACGAAGTAAGTGACACATCGTAAGAACAATTTTGTACCGCAGATATTAAACGGAAAGCACCTGTGGCTTCGGACGAGTAGATAAGTTCTCAATTGAAGGTCGGATGTTTCAACACTAAGCTAAAGCAATTACACGGTACTACGTCTATGGCAAATCTGTTAATGAAGTTACTTACAGAGTCTTGAGGTTAGGAAGAGCAGCAAACGTCTGGGGAACAGTTCCGCTAAAATGATTATTCCTGACATCCCTGTCCCGATTCAAGTTTCAACAGTAGGTCAGGTAGCGTTTCATGAATCAGTTTCAGAAGTTAGAAAGCCAGTACATCTGACGGTGAGAACTACGAGATGTTAAAGCTGAAGTACATCACCATCGAATAACGCAGAGAAATTAGGAAATTCTCAAGCCTTGCAAATTGAAGTTCAAAAACGTGATTGAGAGATCTCTCCCTTACAATATTTGGAGATTCGTAAGGAGGCCTAAGCCATCTGGAATTGGTCCAGAAAGATTGTTGTTGGTGAGAATACTGCAAATTATCAACAGAGCGTTATTACTCGCTAATGTTCAAGTCCTTCCTTCTGGCCAGACTGATAATTCGATACCGCATCGAGATTGAATGCAGGTATGAAACCATAGGCAAGAACCATGTGAACACTCCTTAGGCTTACAGTATAAGCACAATGAATTGGATACATGAACGCAAGTAAAAGAACAGGCCAGGGACTCATATGACTCCAAACCTTACAACTACAGAGGATCAAGATGAAAGGATGTAACTCAATCCACTGAGGACTAAGCAATTTTCCTAGCAGCACAAAGAAGAGCTCATGTTTGCGAGTCATGTACATTTCTGACAATCAATTCAGGTGAAAACTGGTACGTACATCTCTCGCACATACGTAAGCTCTGTCCAAGAACTTGGGATCTCTCCTGAGAAACGATTGTTGCTGAAGATTCTGATACCCAACAGACAAAAAATAAGAATGTTCACGGTTGAAGTGGATTCTCAGCACAAGGCAGTGATTTTTCGAAATCTGGTAATTTTTAGATATGAGTTCTACATATACAAGATCTTGTTCAGAAGAGTCTGCATAGCTCAAAATTTGGGTCTTGGAAGTTCAGGCTTACATCGTCTGGAGATTACTTCCATCCGGATTTTGACTAGAACCAGAAGGAAGATTCGGTAATGTTCCAACCATCTCATTGTTGTCCACATTGCTGTAAACCAACGAACGGGGACATTGTCAACTGCTAAGATCCCAGAAAAATGCTAAAAAGGTTCATGATTAATTTACTGAGAGCGCAAAGTGATTGGCATCGATTGACAAGATGACGCGTCATTAATCTCCCATTGCATCACTTAAAATCCTCTGGCAAAGTTGTTGAGAATTTGAAACGTTGTTCTTGATCTAAGACTGCTATTGATGACTTACATAGTGTTTAGCACAGCCAACGCTCCCAAGTCGAGTGGCATGGATGTCAAGCGGTTGTTCTGCAAAGCTCTGATAACACAACTTCACTGTGACAAAGGAAGATTGACAGATTACGCAAGGGTTTATTCAAACTGTACAGATTATAATTATGAACTGTACATTCTAAACCGCTTGTAGCTTGGATATCATCTGCATATGCCATCAAAATTTCGTCATAATCTCACGAGCACATATTCGGAGTCCAGATTCTTCCGTCCATATCATCAACTTCCCTGAGAATTAAAAATTTAAACCATTTTAAACTGCTTTGTCTAAGGCAAAAATCATCACGCCTAGCACATTTCGAGGGCCATAAGATAAACATTCATCAATCAGTTCACACCCAGTTGAGGAAGAACATGAGGAAATAGGATGTCGAGATCAATATACGTACATGTATTCGACATTTATGTTTGAGCTCAAGGAGGGCACAGCGCCAGTAAAATTACAGTCGTTTAAAAACCTGGAGTGAATCTCAGTGTCAGCATAAACTGCATTTCACTCGATATTAGAAACTGTCTCCTCTAATCGGTAAAAAAGAGAGCTGCTGATACTTCTGGCGAGCGACGAAACAAGGAGTTCGATAGTTTGAATAGATGCTCACAGATTTTCAATATCATCTGCCTGATTAAGGCTAGGAATCGTCCCTGTCAGTTTGGGATTTCCACTCAAGTTCCTGTATATTTCATAAAGAATCTGAAACGATAAGTTACGGATCCGCTTAAAAAATTTCTGGATGAGCAAAGTCGAAAAACAGGATCGTATTGCAATTCTACTGTAATTGATGGCATGAATATTCATACGAAGATTTAGATCGAAAGCACTTGATTAGTAACACTGATCGAACATCCAACTTGGACAACGATACAACCACGTTGAAAAAATCTCTAATTTGAACCTGGTTGGCTCTGCTATGTACAGGCCTTCCACGGTTTTAACGAAACAAACTGCTTATAGAGATATGATGACGTACACTTCCCGAAGAAAACCATGTTGAAACAACGCCACACCTAGCGTTCCGCCGAAGTCATTACTCTGCAGATTCCTGAAATTACAAAGTCCATTACGGAGGAGGGTAAGAAACAGAAAGAGATCAATTTACCACACTGGAAGTGCTAAACTTAAACTAGTTTTAAATAAATAACAACATTGCCTTCAGTACTTACAGGATCTCAATGCCACCGGACGTCTTAAAATCCGGAATCGTGCCAGTCAGAGCACAGAAGCTTACATTTCTGCATACACCAAACGATTGGAAAAGTTTCACCTATCACTTTGAAGAAATGGAAACATCGCTTTTTACGCAAGTCATCAGAGGCGAATTCAACAGTGGAGAAGCATGTTGATGAAGAGGTATCTTACATATTTAAAATGATGAATTGGCTTAAGTCTGGTAAGACTCCCGATAGTCCTGGATTGTCTGCTAGCTCTCTGAGTCAGTCACAAGTAGATACTGAATCAGTGGTTTGAAGGCTGGAAACAATCCGCTCGAATCACCGACATCAACATCACAAAGAAGGACGTTACCAAATAAGTATGATTGCTAGATTTGACTGTTCGATCTTTCTCAGACATTGCAATTTTATCGGAGTTGTAATTCCCTCCTCAAAAGCAACACATGTAGCTAAACGCTGACTTACATGTCACGTATCGCCTTCATATTCGAGAATTCAGGTGGTATACTACCGGTCAAATTTCTGCTCGTCAAGTTTCTGGCACATTCCAATACCAAAATCTCAACATGTGAGAACGTATAATTCCTGCCTTTTTGACTAAACCCACATGAAAATGAAAATTGGGACCTCGAGGCTGCGAAGCTGACAATGAGAACTTGCTGGAGATGACTACTTACATAGTTTCGACGTTTGTTGCGGCTCCAGAGCAAGTTATCCAGGAAACGGTATCGCAAGGATCACCTGTCCAGTTTCCCAGATTGAACGTATCGCGCATAATCTCAAGGGCAGTTACTGTGAAACAAAACGCAGCCTTAGATTCCTTGCCAATTTTTCGACGTTATAACTTCTTACAGATCCACCATTTTTCCCGGAACGAACTCAATTTCAAAAGACAAGGACGACTTGCTGATGAAAAGAAGCGCGAAATTCAGATTACTCTCATTCATTACATTCATCTCGCTGAAACACAAGCAGTCGCCAACAGATAGAACTGGGAGTCTGAACTATGAGGGAAGATAACACTTTACTCTCTTCGTCGGGCAGCGCGGCGCTTCCTGGCGGTATTGACGCGAGCAGCACCAAGCAGAACAAAATGATCGACAACAGCGGACGAGCTGAATTCAGCCCCATGTCTGATCGCTTCCGAATTGTACGCAATGTTGAGGTTAACGTCGGATAGATTATTGGGCGACAGGTCGCCGAAGGAAGACATAGCCTGCGTGTTCGAGCATCAAGGTGACTTCCTGCTCCTCTCGAGTGAGCCCTGAGTCCAAACGCGGAGACTGCGAAATTGAACGCACTTCGACAATTCCGACGCGCTGGCGATTCAACGGAATCTCTTCGCATCCCGAGGCAGAAACAATTCTCCAGCTGCTGTCGTGGAAATGGGGACCGACGGACCCGAAGCAAGGAAAGGAGCGTCGTGTCGGAGAATTGATCAGAGAAGACAAGAGAAGGGGAGGGCGGATGAGGGAAACGATGCTGCTCAGCTCCTGAGATCTTTTGACCGATGCTCGCGAGCCTCGACCGCCCTCTACGAACGTAATGTAAGTAATGTCAAACTCTCCACATACTTCCGGTGTGTACAACACGTGCGCGCATTCTCCAGTCCTGCGTTCGCGAGCGCAGACGCGACGACACTCCTCGTCGTCGTCGTCATGGACCCTCGCGGGGTCTGACAACGTGCGGCGCGATAGGAGGAGGACTGCAACTGTCATCTACACTTTCGCCAGCGCTAGAGCTCATCACGGAACGACGATCCATGCTCGTCGAGCTGACCCCGTTCGCAAATTCATCATGGGACCGGGACTGCGACTCGCGCCATGGACGCAGTCATGGACTCGTCCCCGGGCACGAGGTCCTTCGGAAGTCGCGACGGCGGCCGCGCCCGAAGCTCGGAAGCCTCTTGGAACTGCTCTCGGTCCGTCATGAGTGCAACGGCTGCACGGACCCCACTGGCCTGGCAACACCCTCTCGAGTCCCACCTTGTGTACTTCCTTTCTTCTCCTCTATTCAGCAGATGACGACGACCCGTGTTTTGCGATAGTCTTCACGTTGAAGTTTTTCCTCTTCGTTTCGATTCCGGGCTGATTAGTGAACTCGAGTAGCTTCTAGAGAGAAACAAAATGTGGTTTGTTAAATTTTCGTGAAAGTATGATTTTTCCCCTTTTATTTTAGCTATGTAAATTATTTTAGTTATATATTTGAGTATTTCTTGTACGCTAGATTGATATCATTTAATATTTTACGAATAAACTGAATTTTGTATGATAATATTTTCAGACTTGTTATCCCTAAAAAATCAGATCAAATTCGAAGAATTTGAATATAAAATATCTGTATGATTCCACAAATGAATGGTAAAACATCAATGGAAACTAGATTGAAAAAGAAAGCAGGATTGACTTGAAGATTTTAGCAGAATGTAAAAACATATATATAGTATCCATAATTACTCTCCTCCATCCCTCCCATAACCCTTCCAAGAGATACAAACAAACTCAAGTTCAGGTCAAACAAGTACAGAACGACATCGCTTATAATAACAATCTAGATTTCCCGTAGGTCCGTGAATGTCATCAACAAATAGAAGAATCCCAGAGAAAAAATTTGGTGTGCGCAAAAGCTACAGAAGATCAACAAATACCATGATAATAACTAGTGGAGTAATCCCCAAAACATTCGAAACGACAACTCACGTAATAACAGCCAGATTGTGCTTCATGGCGAGTTTCCCTTCAACCTGAATACAAGGATCACGGCTGGCTCCCCCTAAGTTCATAATAAGCTTAAATATAAATGTTGACCACTATTCGCCGTCAAAGACTGCCGCATAAGGGCATGTTCTCCGCATCTTGGATACGATATTTTCAAAATGGATCTCTGTGTCGGTGAAAGGATGTTTCAGTTCACTATGCAGAAATGTGAACTGTATTTTCGAACGGAGAACATCTGCATTTTCTCCTTCGTGTGCGGAAATTGGTCCTCTGTTGAGTCTTATGATAGAAGGAAGCTTCGTCGTGTGGGGTCGTAAGTTGACGGCATTACATAATTAGAAATGTATAACTTTCCATACTCGTGGCAGGAAAGGTTGCGTCTAGGTGCAGGTGACTGTGCGCGAAGACCAGTACCTCATGGTAATAGTCTTCGCACACAATGATGGTAAGATGATATTTTTTCTGGTTCGGAAGATTCCTTCAACCAGCTTCAGAAGTTATGGTCGGGTTCGTGAGGTATTTGCTTTTTTCTTCTTCTTCTTTTTGGAAGCAAATGGTATTTATTCCACAGCACAAAGTAAAACAAAGACACCGCATAACCGAGCAAGCAAAAGCAAACTGGCAAAACCTATTTTTTAAGGAGTATCCATACCTAATACAGTAGAACCTGTTTAAATTAATTATGTCTCACTTAATAACCTCTGATAACTAAGATATGCAGTCCAGGCCCGACTTGGAACTGGACTTATTAATAAACTTCCATAAATTAATAATTAATATTCCAGAAGCAGTCCCAAATCTTTTTTTACATTAATAACCACTGCAGAGAAATAAACGGTGGAGAGAAATGATGTGGGTTGCGATGGGCGGAGACATCTGGTGAGGTGGATGGATATGAAGGACATGTGTCAAGTAACTTCAGACCTGATTGTCCTGATTGACCCGACTTGGATTCTTTCTCACGGCAGCCTTGTTAAGAACAACAGAACATCAAATTGCATTTGTTCACTTACGTGCTTGATTTTTTTTCCTATGGAGTGCAGCTTACCGGTTTGCCGATAGTGCTATAACGCTACTGAGCTCAATACAATTCAATCTCAAAACATGTCTCGTTGTTACATCGAGACTTTAGCTTTTCATTCAGAACCAGTGACTCTAGTCAATGTGCAAATAACTGTCCCACCACAAATGACGCGAACATGGAAACTCTCTTTATTAATGAACTGTCTAAATTAATACAGAACTGCCGGTCCCGACATTATTAACTTAGACAGGTTCTACTGTAAGTGCCTTGAGGCTACCTACATCTGTTAAGTAAAAGTACCTGTCCGGATCCGCTGGTGTGTCCAAGTAACCCCGGTTGGGCTTCAAGTGAAGAAGATGTCGTCATGGTCCCAGAGAGTGTCCTAGAGAGTGTCGAAGCTCTCCTCCGCCTTCGGGATTCCATCAAGCTGATGTTGTTCACACCACTGTATCTTAGCATATGATGCACGAGCCAAGTAGATCACTGCATCCCACAATTTGCATTCCAGGAATTCCACCGGCCAGCGAGTGTTGTGATAAACCACCTGGTTTCGTTGCAACCATATGGTACACAGCACTATACTGCGCATCACACACCACGTTGCCTGAAACTCCTCTAATGACGATGGCAGGGGTTGCCAATAATGCACTGCTCCCACATAAGAACTAGGGCTGAGATGTCACATTGGTGTGGGCCAGTCGATGAAGAGCAGATGCCGCGAATTTCCAGGCTGGAAGCGCCATCGCGCAATCGTAGAAGCAATGCACCACCAATTCCGGTAAGTTCGCAGTGCAACATGTGCACAGGTCTGGGATGGCCGCGATGGCTCGATGGCGCCATTGATTGACTGCTACTGCCTTGTGGAGTACCGTCCACATAAATGCCACTTCTTTCCAAGATTTGGCTACGATCCATACATCTTCCCAATCAGGAAGAAAGTTCAGCGAGAGAATATCTGCCCACTTCTCGCCAATGGATCTTTGAAGATGAGTGCGCGGATGGAGCAAGGATCGTCCCAACTTGGCTGTGTAGGCATAAATAAGTGCCTTGGGCGTCCATTTCCATTTGCCTGGATCAAAGATAATTCTAGCTTGTGGCGTCAGATAGAACAGCCGGCTGGGGAGTGATTTCTTAGCTGCTAGGACGCAAATAATGCGCACCCGATGAACTTGGCCTTGAATGACTGCATCCGATCGGATTTTGGACGTTTAATAAGTCACCTTGATCGGGAGCCCACGCAGTATCGATTATGGCCGGCCAGGATAGTTGTCAATACAACTTCCTGAGACAGGGGCAGTAGTAAGGATTCCTCAGCCAGGATCACCACGATGGGATCGTCAGTAACAGCGCCTTCACAGATCGCTATCCATTCAGCCTTGATGGATGTGGAGGCCGTGTTCTAGATCATTGAGAGCCAGGTGCTGGTACCTTGCGTTGCACTTCCGTGATGAGGTGGCGCTTGGGGTCTTGAAGCCCATATGATGCTCGAAGATCGCCCCACGGTCGAAGCATGGGTTGATTTTCTTCACAGAGATCCATGAGGCATTGTAAGCCCCGTTTGCTAGTTCTCGAGCTCTTTGTTTTGATAATCCAAAGTTGGCGCCCACAAAATGGATGGTCCACCAAAACTAGGTGTTACGTACCTCCTTTGCATTCGTGGGGGAAGCCTCAATGTTGGAAATCATGCGCTTCCACGCATGGACCAGTCATTCCAAATTGACGAACCCCGGGTGCCGAGAAGCGATGCAGCATGGAATATTGTATGTTCCGGAGCCATACACCTGAACCGGATGGTTGAATATGGACAATCTTGTGGCGTAGTAGAATTGTGAGAGAGATCTCGCCTAGTATGAGGGCCTTCACAATCCACTTGGTGATCAGAGCAGTGAGCGCATAATGGGGATGGATGACTCCAAGTTCCCAAAGCTTCTTAAAAGCGCAGCAGTCCATCCAATTCACCTTGGCTTGTGTATTCGCCTCCGTATCCGCCCATAAAAAGTAAGGAGGCTTGAGGTAGTAGATGATGTTGAGTATGGTTTTAGATCAACGATGAAAGTTGACATCGGAGAACGATGGCAAACGAAGCCGCAGCGCCGCAATGATTGCACCTTCTTCTTCTGCTCACTCTAGTCTACTGTTGCCCATACACGCTCTAGATTTGTGACCGCCACGACCATACGCTAAGTTAGAGAGGAGTTTTAGCAAATTTGACCACAAATTATGTAGGGTTAGGGTTAGGGTTAGCTCACGGTGGTAGTCCCCAAGCCTAGCTACAGGGAAATCCTAGCAAGGGCAGAATGTCAGACGCAAGGTGTGCAGATCGTGTATGCAACTGGGTCCGAGGTGGGCCTAGTCTTTCTTTGAACGGCGTTAGGCAGTCCACCTTCGACCGAGCAACAGTAAACCCATTTCAACGTTCAAATGGAGAATTGCTTCCAAGGGGGACTTTTCGGAATCACCAAGAAATTCTAGTCCGTGATGTCTCATCATTCAACCTAGACACAGAATTCCAAGCCGTAGTGTCAAATAAAATTTCCATTTTCGCTACTCATGTAGTGATTGCCTGTATTGTCGAGGGCGAACTTCAAGGACTGGCACTTGCTGCATGGTGGGAGTCCGTCGGTGAGCCAGCGGCTCCTCGCAAAGTGACATCTCATCGTCAAGTTAATCCCCAATTCGTATATGTTGGGATGGATGGCCAGGAAACTACTCTACGCCTCCTGACTCGAGCTTTTCACCAATTCAACAGGGGCGTGTCGATATACTAGCAATAGAAGTAGGAATTTAATCATAGTATCTTTCTGGACATTCAATGGCCGATGTGGATATCTTTTCTTGAACTCGCACGAGAATACCAAAAACTCACAAACAAAGTGGCGGAACAAGTCGACCCGATTCTCGCCGTTCACGATGGATCTGGCTACAATTCTCTACTCCGCTTCTCTTTTGGAGTCAACCCCACTCAAGGATGGATTTCTACCGTCGTGGGCTAGCAGCGCGTTAGGAGGTAGCGTCACAATCCCAGTCCAATGTGGAGTTGTCATGCTCCATTTGTGGGAATCACAACAATTACGGCGCTCAATGCTTCAAAGACCGTCGTGCTAATTGTCCACAAGTCCAAGGAGGAAGGACGGAGCCACAATGGCAGATGCACCAGCAGCCACAGGCACAAGACGCTTCAGGCGCATCCTACGATGTCCCACT